CACACACACACACACACACACACACACACACACACACACACACACACACACACACACACACACACACACACACTCTATGGATTATAGAAAGTTTTTTATTGTTGTTTAATCAGTGGATCAAACAAACTTTTTTCTGTTCAGTCTGATTTCATGTTTTATATTTGAACAGAATTTCTTTACAAACTCTGGACTCTGAACTTCAGTTGCTGACGACTCGCACACGCTCAGTGGAGGAGAACGTCCAGAGAGACGCGGAGCTGCTGCTGCAGCTCGACAACTTCCTGCAGGTAACACACACACACCTGCTGTCCTTGTATGAATAAAGTTTCTTCTTGTATGAATAAAGTTGACGTCGTCACGTGTGTGTCAGTCCGCAGCGTCGTCTCTGAGTTCGTTGCGTGGGAGTCGGCAGCAGCTGAAGGACGAGGGCAGCGAGCTGATCGACTTCTTCTGCGAGGACAGAGACACGTTCCGGTTTGACGACTGCTTCAGTGTCTTTCACACCTTCTGCTCCAGGTTCACTGACGCCGTCAAGGTGCAGGAACTTTTATTGTGAAACACCAACAGGAAGTAACTTTATTTAAAACGAGCAGTGACGGAGAAACAAACGTTCTTTTCTTTACGTTGAAGTACATGTGACGTTCATATGATGCAGCCGCGACATCTAGTGGCTAAATGTTGTCATGACATTTGAATGCATGGATTCGATCTGAGACTATGATGATTCAATTTTGTTCTTATTTTGATGAATATGTTTTTTATTTGGTAATTATAAATTTGAGTCAAAATACCTGGATCGCCCCCTGGTGGCTGGTTGCAGTATAGTTGATAAACCACAACATCACCAGCACAAGATGGCAGTGTCAGTAATATGTACATGGAGAGAACGTGGAGACGTTTATGAAGATTAAACAAAATCTGTTTTGACGCCTTCACAACAAGAAGAAGATGAGGAGAACGTTTAGAACACCTGACCAGGTGGCAGTAGGAGTCAGTTCAGTTCCTGGAATATGATAAACTGTCTTTTTCTGTCCCGAGCTTTTTGATCCATATAAATGGCTGAGCACTATATCTGAGATCACTACAAGCTGTGATCTAAAATCTGTCTTTGTCTCTGAAGGAGAATGTGGAGAGGGAGGTGAAGGAGGCGGCTCGACGCCGGCAGTTACAGGAGCTGGAGGAGCAGAAGAGACGCTTGTGGGCTGGTGACGAGGAGGTCGGAGGACACACTCACTGACAAAAACACAAATATGCTAGAAAAGTGATTGATTAGAAATTAATTTCTACCATGTGATCCTGTCGTAGGTGGACAGAGGCTTCAGCTGGCACTGCAGGAGCCAGAGGGACATGTCAGTGTCCACGTTACAACACGAAGGAATGTTGACAGAACTCCTGACTCCCAAGTCGCATCTCAATGACTCCCTCGGTCCCCTGGGGCGCTCGGGAAGTTTACAACGTTCCCGGAACTCTCCATCCAGTTTGCCATCCATCGCTGCTGAGCACGAACTGAGCGTGCTCCTAGAAATGCTGGCCCCCGACCACAAACTCGCTCAGCAGAGAGGAGAGGGAGCTTTCAGATCATCCTCTGCCAAACCTGGCTGTAGAAGTCCAGGACTCCTTCCTGAGACATGCAGCTTCTCCCAAAACCAGGAGGTGGCACCGCAGACGCCCTCGTCAACTCCCAAGATGTGTCAGAGTCAGCGCGGCGCAGCGTTTAGCCACCAGGCGATCGTAACATCACGCCTTCAAACTGCTCTGAGGGGGAAACCAGGGAGTACGAAAAAAGACGTTAGAGCCCAAAGTGATGAGAAGACGACAGGCAACATGTCTGTGGTTTTAGAGACATGCTCGCTGGTGCCTGAGTTGAAGGTGTTTGACAAGTTTGCCGCCTTGAAAAGTCGCAACGAAAGGCGTCTCACCAGGTGTCACCATGATGATGTGGTTGTCACAGATTTGGAGGAGGAGGGAGAGGACAAATCCCGAGACAAGGAACCACAGAGAAACTCATCTTCATCACAAAGAGACAAAGACGAGGAGATGGTGGTTGTGTGGTGTGTGACGGGCGTGTGCGAGGCTGCCGGCAAAGTGACACACGCTGATAACACACATGCACAAACTCAGGAGGATCAGAGTCCGAGCAGCACTGACAGAGGAAACCAACAGACTTCCTGTGTTCAACCCAATCACACACCAGGACCTCAGCTAGCCAATAAGAAGCCAGTGCCTGTTCCCATCAGCAGCCAACCAGTGTCCTGCTGTGATGTCCCATCATTTCAAGACTCCCTAACCCTAACCCCTGGGTGGCGCCCAGCAGAGCCTGCGATAGCCAATGAAGCGCCTGCTCTCACAACAGACGCCTTGAAGGAAGCTAAGAAACCAACCAATCACGGAGGAGACAGAGGAGAGGGCTCCACCAATGACAGAAGAGATGTTGAGACCTTCCCAGAACAATTAGCAGATGACAGGGGCGGGAGCAATGCTACTTCCTGTCACTTGACCAATGACAGCACAGATTCAAACAATGGAAACGCAGAATGTTCAACTTCCTTCAGACTGTCCACCAAAAATGCTGCTACCTCAAAAACATGCCACGCTGCCATCCAACCCAACGCAACCACAAATGCCACTAACAAATCAAAACCCATCCGCACCCTCACCACCTCTGGGAACCAAGGCATGAGGCGGGTTGTGCCCATCTCCCGAAACGACCGCACAGCTACCTCGCTGGGCAATCGTCCTAAGAAGCCCGGCGACCAGCTAGGATCCTCCAGCACCGCAACGCCTGCCAGTCTGACCGTCTCCAACCTCAACAGCCCCTCATTCCGACGAGGAGAGAGGCCATCCACCGCTGCTTCCTCCCGACCGTCCAGCTTCCACAAGACACAGGACGCCAAGGACTCAAGAGACCAAAGGGGTTCAGGTCCTCAGACGTCTCGAGAGCAGAACCACAACGTGCAAAGGAAACGGCCTGTCCGAAAATCTTCAACGAAACCGCAGCAGGAGGAGAAGATGTGTCGCTCTACGCTGCGAGCTCTCGGTCAGACAGGTAGAGGCAGCGTCAGCGCCCCTGCCACGCCTCTACACAGTACCACCGCTCCATCATCACAACTTCCAGGTTTTGCCCGAAGCACCGCCTTTTCCTCTTTTAGACGTACCCACACACCTACTGGTCGCCTCCCCCTTCTTCATTCAACCGACACTGGCTCAGACTCCTCCCACATATCTTCCCACAAGGCCACCACCCCTTCCTCCATCACTCCACCCCCCAACAACGCCTCCTCACCCTCCACCGGAACAAGCTCAACAAGAGTCTCCACCAGGTCTTCAGATGTCCTCGACTCCTCGTCCTTCCTGCTGAGGACATCTCTGAGCATGAGAGCTTCCCCTCACTCTCTCCTCCACCACTCCCTGACTCCCCCTAAAGGCCAGAGGAGAAATGACAGTGGCAGCTTCTCCGACAGATCGAGTCACTCCAGGGACTCGGTCAAGACCGCGCGGCCGAGCTGGAGATAACAGGCTGCATTCCAATATGAGTTCTGAATATGGCCGTTGTTCCTGCACGTGGAAGGAAGCCAGCGGACACATTCCAATATGAAGTGTAGTATTCCAACTAACATACGAAACATCACGTTAAACTCTGACCGACCTGAGGGTCACGTGTCCTGTTATCATCCTTATTATTATTGTTTCGATGATAAAACTAAAGAGTTGAGATTTGATTCTGATTCAAACTGTGTGTTGAGTTTGTTTATTTCTATCTTTATCTATGTACATGTATGTAGATAATATTTCTCATATATCTAAAAACTATGATCCGATGGATAAAGTATTAATTCTCCATCTCTGCTCTTTGTTCCCGTCCATCTTTACTTTATGTTAATTAGTTCAGTGTAGGAATGAATTCTTCGTTTAAATAACTGTTTAAGAATGTGACTGTGCGTTCACAGTAACTCGTGACGAAAAGAGAAAAACCCGGTATTTTAAAATGAAGGAGGAGCTGGAGAAGTTTTAAGGTCAGTTTGTTTTGATTAAGATGAAATTCAACTTTACTTTAATCACATTTCTCTTTGGTTCTAAAACTGATGTTATGGTTTTCGTAAAACAAATGTAGGAAAGTAAAAATAAAAGTAGAAACCGTAAGTCTCATCATACATGTTCATTGTATGATGAGACTTACAATGTCACAACAACGTTGTAAACAAAAGCTCTACTTTGCACTTTAGTTGCACTTCTGCATCACACTTGCTCCTGCACACTATTTCATACATAAGACACTTAGTTCAAAAATGAAATCTCAGGGTACCATTGGGAAAACACATCTATTCAAAACACAACATACAATGGTTCATTGAAAATACTGAGACACACACCTGAAAATACTTATACTACTTACTCACAAAACTGAACACCAATCAGCTACAAGAAGCCTCAGTTCAGCCATTTTGAGAACTTTGCAAGCAGAGAGAGAGAGAGAGAGAGCTAGAGGCAGAGGAAGACAGAGAGAGAGAGAGAGAGAGAGAGAGAGAGGACGTGGTGGAAGAGGCCATGCAAGGACCATTATTTCAGACGACCGTGTCATGAACCATGGCCTGACTATGAGGGAAGCTGGGCAGAGAGTCCACCCTCATCTAATCCGTTTCACAGTTTCATCCATGATAAGGACATTCTGACTGGAGAACAGGTTTGTCTCCAACTCTCTCCTCAGACTGTATCTAGAGTATTTACAGTMCTGTACCATATCACGTTACCACATCACATGTACTGTACTGCAGGGTGGCTAATGCTCCTTTTCTAACAAAAGTAAAGTACAGTATATACTGTACTGTAAATACTGTAAAGTACAGTATACTGTACTTTATTGTATTTGGTTCCGGAAGCAGAGGATCATGGGTAATATCCAGAGCTCAGTGACAGTAACACTGTGCTGCTTTAAGTAAAAATTATGTTTCACTGTCAACGTGAATTATTCAGGTTCTTTCACCACAAACAGAACATTTGATAGTTTCAACTTTAAAATCAGGATCGGCCACATTCCATTCAGCAGAGTTACCGACCCCAAGGGGGCGCCAGAGGTGTGAGTGTGTCTGGAGGGCGGTGGAGGATGAGGACCTAAAGGAAGACAGTGTGACAGAGAAAGGACACAGAGACAGTTTTTCCCTCAGTCTCTCGTTTTATTATAAAAGTTGAAGTTTCTACTTTGACAGTGAGGAAAGAAAAACTCCCATAATCCTCCAGTACGAAAATAAAAAAACAACAAGATGAAGAGCAGGGGGCGGGTTTCCATGGCAACACACAGGGGGATGGTGTGGGGGGGAGGGTGCAGGAGTAACCATGGTAACAGTGGTGGGGGGGGTTTACTGTACTATCCTGTGGACAGTTTAACATCTGATCACACACACACACACACAGTGATCCAGTGTGTGTGTGTTTCAGAGCGACCTCTGGTCATGTGACACACGAGGTGTCATCAAAATGATAATTGATCTTTTCTGTGATTGGTCCCAGAACAACGTCTCCACGAGTCACAAGAGAAAAACGTTTCATTAAAAATGTGACCCAATAATCAATAATTAAAATGATCAGCTGATTGACCTCACACAGCCTCACGTTACCTTGGAGACAGAGGGCGCTGTCTCCTCCCTTCAATCAGCTGTCAGAGACCCCGCCCCTTTAACCTGTTAAAACCTTCTGAAACACACACACACACACACGTCTCTCTCTCATCCAGCTGCCGCTTGTCGTCTCTACTCATCGTCGTCGTCATCATCGTCATCGTCGTCCCCCTCGTCATCCTCCTCTTCCTCTCCTCCCTGAGCTGAGGACCCGGGGTTCCGAGCGTACGTGCCTCCGCCGCGGTACGCCACCATCTCCTGACAGAGAGGGAGGCAGTTCAGTCGACAGCCAATCAGAGGTCAGGACTAAACACACGCCCATGTTCTCTTCCTGAGGTGTAACTTCACCACTAGGTGTCACTGAATGTCACACGTGTCATGAACCTGTAACAGTGATGATGACATGTTTAAGCTCCGCCCCTCACTTGAATGTTTTCCTTCGTGAGTCGGACTCGAGCTCATTAATCTAGAAAATACTTTGGGTTAGTTTGGTGCGACTCACCCGGTCGTATTTCTCCCGTAGTTTCTGAGCCTTCTCTTCGTACGGTTGTTTTTCAGACGGCGTCAGTTTGCTCCACATCTCTCCCAGTTTCTTGGCACAGTCGCCTATAGACATACCTGGAAACTGCTGCTTCACACTGGGACGGTACTCGCTGCAGAAGACGAAGAAGGCCGACCTGCACACACACACACTGTCAGGTTGTAGGGCCACCATCCTGGGTCAGGGGTCAGAGGTCAGGACACTTACGGGGGTCTTTTAGGTGCGTTGGGATCTTTCCTCTTGCGGCCCCTCTTTCCGAAGCCCTTGGGGGGGACGTAGTCACTCATCTCTCGGTTGTAACGAACCTTGTCGGCCTTCGCCATGTCCTCGAAACACTTCTTATCAGTGGCAGTCAGACCCTGAGACAACACACAGCATGATCACACCACCTGTCTGTCTTCATGTCCGTCTACCTGTCCATCTCTGTACCTGTCTGTCTACATGTCTGTCTCTGTACCTGTCTGTCTACCTGTCCATCTCTGTACCTGTCTGTCTGTCTTCATGTCCGTCTCTGTACCTGTCTGTCTTCATGTCCGTCTACCTGTCCATCTCTGTACCTGTCTGTCTTCATGTCCGTCTACCTGTCCATCTCTGTACCTGTCTGTCTTCATGTCCGTCTCTGTACCTGTCTGTCTTCATGTCCGTCTCTGTACCTGTCTGTCTMCATGTGTGTCTCTGTACCTGTCTGTCTTCATGTGTGTCTCTGTACCTGTCTGTCTTCATGTGTGTCTCTGTACCTGTCTGTCTTCATGTGTGTCTCTGTACCTGTCTGTCTGTCTACCTGTCTGTCCTACCTTCCATCTCTCTGAACATTTCTTGGAGAACTCGGCGAAGTTGACAGACTGCTCCGGGTTTTTCTTGCGATGCTCCTCTCGACACGTCTGAACGAAGAAGGCGTACGCCGACGTCTTCCCCTTCGGCTTGTTCACGTCTTTACGCATCATACTGACGGCCTGAGAGAGAGAGACATGTTAGAGAGAGAGAGAAAGAAAGAGACATGTCAGAGAGAGAGACATTTATGAATCTTTATCAATACAAACGTTAAACTGAGATCTATCAGAAGATTATTATTGATGTAAAAGATTATAATTTGTTGTATGATTACTATTGATCATATTATTATTATTGATCTATCATATTATAATAGATCATATGGTTATTATTGATTTATTATATTGTTATTATTGATCTATCATGTGATTATTGATCATATGATAATTGATCATATGATTATTATCAATGAGTCCGTGTTTAATGTGATGACATCAGCTGTGTATTGAATGTTAGTGTTAAAGTGAGAATGTGTAAATGAACAGTAACCCTGGGCCCGTCACTCTCACTGGGAATAACAAAGAACTACTGGGGCTCCATTTTCTCCGCCGGGGAGTCAGGAGGCCGCGCACCGGACTGAAGCCTCTGTCTGCCCGCTATAGCGCCGGGACGTCCCGCCGGGGAGCGGCAGGTCGGCTCCCCGGTGACTGCGCCTCTCGGAGCGGCTGAGGTGAAGCTGGCGCTGCGTGTTCGTGGAGCTGTTAGCTTAGCGATGCTAACGGGTTAGCTCCATCAGAACAATGGGCGACCATTTGCTTCCCGCCCTCTGCGCAGCTAGCCGCCCCATCCCCCTCCGCTAGCATCAGGCTAACCGGCTACCAGCCCCAGAAAGAGACACTGAATCCCCGACACGATCGGAAACACGACGCCGACACGGTCCCTTCACACGCGGAGACATTTGTATCTCAAACCGCGGCGCCGGTTTCACAGCGAGCGGCTGCAACGGAAACGTGAGTCACTGACAGCTACGCATTTTCAACGCAGGGCTCCGGCTATGCTCCGGAGAGGTCAGCGTTGTATGGACGGGACAGGGCTATTTCCTGGCATTGAGACTCCAGAATGGGCGTTTCGTGTTTACAACAACACGTTTGGATCAGAGCCCGGAGCGCGCACACGGAGAGGCGGAGCGGGGGGGGGGGCACTCAGCCGACCACCGACACCTTCCTGCGGCCGTTTGATTCCTGCCTCAGCCTCTTTACGGAGCTTTTATCACAGGACCGACCAGTGAATCAAAGACTGCTCATTGTCAGTGGACGAGCCCCTGCGGCAGCGAGCACGGCCCCGGTACTCACTCGTCAGGGGGCGGCTACAGGCGGGGGTCTGGTCGGGGTCTGGCTCGGCTCGGCTCGGCTCTGGTTCTGGTTCTTGTTGATGTTCGGACGCTGCAGCAGCGACTGGAGACGTTCGTTCACTTTCAAACTGGGTCGAGCTCCAGCGTGGCCCCGCCCCCAGCAACGCCCCCGTTGGTTATTCCCGATCGGGGGAGGGGACAGGGTCTGTCGCTGTGGGCGCGGCTGGGATGAATGCTCGCCTCTAATTGGCTCTTGGAACTGTACGTCAGTCCCGTCAGGATCGTCAGCAGGGCGGGAATCCTGAGCTCACAACAAGGCGGGGCCAGTTTGTTTCCCTACGTGTGATTGGTCCGAATTGGTGTACGTCAAATCAAGAGGCCAATCCTAGAGGAGGTGGAGGAGGGGCGATAGAGCGCAGCAGGGGGAGGGAAGAAGATGGAGATCTTTTAAAAACATTTGTTAATGATGAAGGATGGATAATACATCTGTTCTCCTCAAGAGGTCGATGCAACAGCAGGGGGCGCTAGTTAGAGTTTATAGAGAGGGTCCAGTCATATCACAGTCCAGATGTTCTAGATATCATGTTCCAGATATCATGTTCTAGATATCATGTTC